AAAAGTGTATAGATTAGGATGTTCCTGCCCCTGACAGAAAACATTTCAGCCCCTTCCAAAGATGCAAATCTGGTCTCTTGACTAAATACCTGTGATTTGTGCCAGAAGTACGATAATATAGAGCACTATTTGCAAGAGTCTGAGAAATATGAACACCAAAGGAAACCATTAACTGACTGTGTGAATCCTGTAACGATGGAAAAACTTGCTGCACATAGACAGCCCCGCAGACTTGCATGGCAAGTCAAGCAATTTATTACTACAACTAAAATCTTAAATATACAAGGGTTAGGAATGTCTGCATCTGTGGCTTAGGTGTTGCGAATGTGCTTCGGTGCGCCAGGTTTGATCCCAGCTGTGGAGGATTTGTCTTGTGTTGGTTTTGACAGTGGTACTCAGTGCTGACTGTTCAAGCAATGGCAAACTACTGAATGTAAAATTTGCCAAGAAAAACCACATGAGGAGTTTTGCCATCTATACTCCCACACAGCATTGTCCTGCGACTATTATATATTTATTCTACCTCTAGTTTGGTTAAAATTTGTATTAAAATGCGCCATTTTACCAAAAACTGCATCTTGGATGATGCGACATTGATTCTGCCATTTTTTAAAACTTGTCAACAGTCATTAAGTCTGCAAATTTATATATTTTTTCTAGAAGGTTAATCACATTTGTTGTGTCTGCCAATCTATTTTGTTTTCCTAAAATTTATCACATTTATTGTCTGGTAATTTGTTTTTTCTAAAAATTTATCACAGCTATTGAGTCTGCCAATCCTTTTTTCTAAAACATCACATTTATTAACTCTGTGTCAGTTTCTTGTGTTTTTCTAAATGCTCATCACACAGATTTTGAGTCTACCAATTTGTGTATGTGTTTTTGTTTTTTTAAATAAGACTACTATGACACTTATTGACCCATGTGTTTCTGTAAATTTGTATCACATTTATTGAGTCTGCTTGTATATTTTTCTTACATTGTTTCATTGCTCAGCATGTCAACTGGTTTTTCAAAAGCTTTATCACTTTTATTAATTAATTTATTTATTTTTTTACATGCAACCTTAACACTGAATTACTAACTTTTAACTCACTTTTTTTTTTCCCAATAAAATTTCCTTAATTCAAGAAACTATTGCTTGCTTATTCATTTAATGAAATCAACTGCTTTATGGCTAATTTTATGTTCATAAATGAGGTTATTTTGTGCTGTGAGCTTGAATTTAGCATGTTAGCACGGCTTGCTTTGTGCTTGCTGTCAGGGGTAATAATTATCTTGCTTGAGTATACCCGCTCCCCGTTATCAGATGCATGCAGCCTTAGCTTCAGCTGTCATAATTGTTGTGATTCCTTTATTTAATTTAGAAATATATGACTTATTGTTTTAATTTATAGTGACACTATATCACAAAATATATTGCCATACGAAGCTATATGAGACTATCTTAGGAAAACTGAAATGATTCAAGTGAAGCTATTTAACAAAATGTAAATATTTTATAATTGCTAACCGTGAGATTGTGTGACTAATTACGAAACATAGATTTGTACACTACAAATATCAAGATATTCAAACTGAATTCTTTATTTATAGCAAATAGAAGAATATTATGATTTAGAAAAATGTGTAACTTTGTCAAATTTGTTCAATTATGCTCTTCTGGTAACATTTTTTTTTTTTGGTTAAAAGCTAAATGGCTAAATTTAAATATAAAAGTGATTACTGTGACAAACTTTTTGACTTATAATTGAATACATAAGGGCTGTGTGACAAAATTTGAATGTATAATTAATTATAAGGAAACAATGTGGCCATTTAGGGGCTACATACTTGATTATACTTGATTATACTTGATTACAGTGAATTCATATGAGAAAGTGTGAACACATATTGACTGCAGTAACGCTTTATCTAAAGTTGGACTGTATAATTGATTTGAAATTATATGACAAAATTGGAATATATATTTAATGTTGCTGAAAGACTGTTTTACAGAATTGTTGATATGTAATTTATTGCACTGTGGCTGTGTCTATACAATTTTATATATAATTTTCTACGCTTAGTCTAATGACTAAATGGAAAAAGCTACGTGTGGATTAGTACACAGAACCCCTGTACACTATAAATATCAAGATATTCAAACTGAATTCTTTATTTATAGCAAAAAGAAGAATATTATGATTTAGAAAAATGTGTAACTTTGTCAAATTTGTTCAATTATGCTCTTCTGGTAACTTTTTTTTTTGGTTAAAAGTTAAATATTTATATAAATGTAGGTTTAGGTTTAAACAATGCACCAACATCGTGGCACAAGGGTATTAACTCATCAGTGCTCCCTTCTACTTCTAACTCAAGCTGGAGTCGAAAGAATCTCAGCGCAGTGCACGCAGTCCAAAGCACCGGCGAAGATCCTGAAAGACTTTATAAATCCTGTATAAATCTAATACTGCTTAACTTAACAGCTGGTGGTGACTTGTAGTGTTATTTTTAAATTAGCAAACAAGGTTAACGTTCAATTTAGTGTTCTTTGTAATCTACAAAGCTAACATTCAACTAAGTTTAATATTTTATATATATTCAACATTCAGTTCATTATAATTGTGAAAATAGCAACAGCAACAAAAAAGTTAATATTATGTCCAGTATAATTTATTAAATATCAGACCAAGTTATCCAACATTCAATGCTTTTTTTTTTTTACAGCAACAACAAAAAAAAAAAAGTTTACATTCAGTGCAGTATTAACATTCAAAAACCATCTTTATTACACTTTAAATTGTTAATGACAGCATCAGTCTCCTTCTTGTTAGAATTTACTAGGAGATTCTTTGTCCATCTATTCCTGGGGCTCCCTTATGCAAAATTTACAGTTGCTGAGAGTTTTCACCACCCTTATTTGGAAATATGAGATGTTCAATCCACTACCCCTACTGTCAGCAGGGAGTATATCACATAAGATTCCTTAATGTAGTAAAATGTCATCATCTACAACTGGACATGTACACCTTACACAAGTTGATGGTGGGTCCAGTAACCCATTTCAAAAACTGGACCTGTATTAAGTGCACCACAGGTTGAAGGTGTGTCCAGTTACCCATTTCTGACATTGCGTCCATAATGGAAAACAGTTGAGGGCAAACAACTGAATGGCAAACAGTTGAGGGCAAACAACTGAATGGCAAACAGTAAGTGGTAAACAGCTAAATGGCAAATAGCTGAGAGGAAAGTAAAGGACCCTTTTCTGTGCCTTCAGACTTATTGTCCAGAACTTTACCTGGTACCAATTTAAGGCTGGGTCAACCTGGAGGTCAATGTCTTTTTTGTTCATGCGGATTTGAACCCATGATCTTTGGATCCACAGGCAAGCATCTAGCCACCACACCACAGCAGCTCCCTGAGTGAAAAATAGCTAAGTCAAAAAAATTGTTAATTGACAAATAGTTGAGTGACACATAATTGAGTGCCTAATAAGTAGCTAAGAGGAAACTAGCATCGTTTAGAGCAGGTTACAACATTTAGAAGCCATATTGTCAGAATAAGCTTACTTACAAGTTGAGTACAATGTTAGATTATAAAGCTTGTTGAATGTCTAGATCCTTTCTGGGGTCGGTTGCTGATATCAGACTAGTTGTGGTATTATTTCAGCATGTTGTTTTATTATTATATATAACTTGATATAATTCAGTATTGCTTGCCGCCTCTGTGTTTGTTTAGCTTTGTATTATAAATATACATATAGAAAGGGGTTAAGCCATTTGCCTTGCGCCATGAAGGATCTGGGTTTGATTTCCAGCTTTACCTGATACTTAGGTGCTGTCCCTGGAGCTATAGGGTTTGTGCTTTGTGCAACGCTCTCACAGGCAACCAGGTGCTTTGCTGATAGAGGCATAGATACCTGATGTCAAACTCGGTGCAGTAAAGCCAATCCGCATATCTTTCAAAAGAATTTACCACAGTATGCCATACACAGAGAATGTAATGAACAATTTAACCCTGAGGGTTTAACATAATATTTTGGGGGAGGGGGAGGGGAGAATTTACTACTGCTACTACCATAGTACGCTATTTTCTTGAGTGTTAAATTTATATCATGTTTACTGTGAGAAGAAATAGGTTAAATTAATTTAAAGTTTTTATTCTTGAATTTAAAATATAATTTGAAGTGTTTATTTTAAGCATAAATAAACTAAGTGGAAGTGATTTGCCCAACTGAGTTACTTATGCAGACATAAAAGTTGACATTACTCGCAGAATTGTATATACTGATCAATCAGTTAGCCTGCTCTTTCATTTCCTTTAAAGAAATTCAAATCGTAATTGTGTGACTTTCATAGTCATTGAAAAATAAATGCAGAAAATTTATAAGAATAGCTAAATAGTTGTGTTTTTTTGTTTTGTTTTTGCGATGGTAAATTATGTTCATCATACAACCCACAGTTACAACATAACCATTTTGTGGTGCCCCAGTTTAACTGTGCTATGTGGCTGTATGGTTAAAGGGGGTTTATTGGATTGTTAGTTGTTTGATTTTCACCCTTGAGATGTTAATCCTACATAGTGCGACACTGGAAGGGGAAAAACACTTTTTAATCACAAACACACACTATTATATATATATATATATATATATATATATATATATATATATATATATATATATATATATATATATATATATATAATATTATATATATATATATATATATATATATATATATAAACAAATTAAGGACGCATTACCTTCATTGACATATTGTGAATATTTTCCTTGTCCTATATTTTTATAGAGCAGTGGACTCACAGCCTTTGGGGTCAAAATTAGACCAGCTACCTTAGATTCAGAGGGCATTTCCTGGTACCCATTCTTGGCTGGGTCAACCTTTTTTATTTAAAAAGCTCACCTAAATTGAGAGTCAAGTCTAAACATTTCCTTTGCTAGCAAAATATAAGTCATTACTAATGCCGTTGTTCTAATGAGTACTTTGTACTTGCAGATCCGTGTGGTTAATGCATTCCAAATGGATCTGGAAGCATATTTGGAAAACTATGAACAGCGTGGCAGGCCATCTGTGATGAACCTGCAAGCACAAAAGAAATCTCTGGGTAATGACAGTGGTCTCGCTAGGAAGATCAGTAAATCTAAACCGGAGCGCCCATTGTCTCGTGGTGATGACTAACAGCAGCTAGTTTTTCCTCACTAGTTGCCAGTTTGAATGTGGAGTTCTTATCATTTCAGTTTTAGTTAGGAGATTTCATTTGATGTGCCAGTGTCAGATATTGTGGGTTTCAGAGGCGGGAAGCTGGGTGTATTATGTGTATTTATATATGTCTTTAATATCTTATTGTCCACATGGAAAAGATAACATATGCTGTTCTTTGCAGTTATAAACCCCCCCCCCCCCCCCCCCCTTTTCATTGGTCAGAATGTTCTTTTTCCTAGTGTTGTATTTTTTTTTTTTAATTCATAAAGGGAATTCATTGTTTGAAACTGTTTCAGCTTTAGCCAGCTGAAACAGGAAGTTACTGATTACTAATTACTGATTTCACTGCCAAGAGTGAGTAAAGCAGCAGTTTGTAGTAAGTCTCTGTGAGAAGTACATTGCTTTCCTAAAGCAGTGTAATGTGTATAGATAAAGGGGTGTGTAGTGCACTAAATCCCCCCCCCCCCCCCCCCCCCCGGTAGTGAACTCTTTATATTTAGACAGAGGGGGATGCAGTGCACTATTTTCCTAATTTTTTTCAAGTATATCTGTGTGTGTGTGTGTCTATATATATATATATGTATGTATATGTGTGTGTGTATATATATACATATATATACATATATATATATATATATATATATATATATATATATATATATATATATATATATATATATATATATATATATATATATATATATATATATATATATATATACACACACACACACACACCCACAAACACACACATATTTATTTATACATATATATATATATATATATATATGTATGTGTGTGTGTGTGTGTGTGTGTGTGTGTGTGTGTGTGTGTGTGTGTGTGTGTGTGTGTGTGTGTGTGTGTGTGTGTGTAGAGAGAGAGAGAGAGAGAGACCGTACTGCATTGCTTTCCCCCAAGTAGTGTGTCATATAAACACAGAGAGTTAGGCTGTGGTGTTTTACTTTACCCAAAATAGTGTAATATATATATATATATAAAGTACACTATTTTAGGTACAGCAACTCACCACAGCCTATATTTGCTGCAGCTAGTAAAACATCTAAATAATTATATGTTTAAGTAACTGGGTTTCACTAAAATTACAACTTGTGATATTTTCATCTTTTCCAATACCACATGTTGATTTACTCATTTTCTTTTGTCACATTGTTTGTCTTTTCTGTTTTATATATATATATATATGTATATATATATATATATATATATATATATATATATATATATATATATATATATATATATATATATATATATATAGTGAACTGCAGTAAGTATGTGAAATTATATGTGTGTCTGTGGTATATAAACATATGACATACTGTTGCTTGTATCTTTCTGTCTATGTGCAGTTAGTTGGTAACCCTGTCGCCTGAAAAAGCCACATAACTGTCATTTCCAGCTGGGGCCAGTTCCCTGTCAATGTCACTTATTTAACTTGTCATGGCTATGGTTTTTAGTGTTACCGAGGGCGACAGGGTTAACAGATCTTTATGTGGCTGCACATTGGCCAGTGATATTCTGCACGATGACATCATTTGATGTATGTTGTCCTGGGAAAAGATAACATTCAAATAACAGACAGTCATAAACCAGGAAGGAGCTGAAGCTCTGGCAAGAAGACACAAGTGTGGAGAACATTTGTACAGGGGGCTGCCAAGGGTTATGTGTGCATGCTCTTCTAGAGCAGAGCTGTTCAACCGCTGACCCTGGGCCAGATTTGATCCGCAGAAACCTAGCAATGGCTCGTGGGTCATTGCCAGTTGTATTGTATTAATCATTCTTCATGGCTAGGGTTCGAGCCTCTGGCCTGTGAAGATCTCGATTGTCCACATTTTGGCTCCTGCGTAAACTTAGTTGAATAGCCTTGTCCTAGGGCAGTGATTCCTAAACTGTGCGCCCCGGGGAGCTGCGACCTCTTCACAGGGGCGCCGTGGAAAAAAACTTAATTGAAAAAAGATGCTGCGACTAAGAGAAGTTTGAGAAACACTGTCCTAGGGTATCAGAGAAGTATTGAAGAAAAGAAACTTACATGTGTGTGTATGAGAGAGAGAGAGAGAAAGAGAGAGAGAAAGCTGTGTGTCAATTTGTACACATGTATAGGGGTAGTTGTGTGAGAACGCAGTTATCACTCCAGTAAAATGTTGATACTATATAATCACCTGTAGCATACGTGACACCTCCCTTGAAGTCATAATATATTGTAGACATTAGAAGCATGTGGTCTGTGTTTTCTTGTTCAGTAAATGTGTTCATATTTTGTTTTCTTTTTCATCATCATCATTATTATTATCATCATCATTATCATCATTACCTGTACCCATCAAAGACAGCATGATAATTGGTTTAGCTGGTGTGTGTGCCCTAATTATAACATCTCAGTAGTTTGAAAGGCGTATCTGGGTTTGTCCTGTTGGATTTTCGTCCGAGATGCAACTTTTCAGGTCTCTTGGATGTCAAACCTCCAGGTAGCAACCCATGGAGAGGACCCCCCCCCCCCCCCCCCCCCAATAATCATCATCGTCATCATCATCATCATAGTGTACAAACGTTTCAGTCAGGACAGGCCTGAGCTATGACTGTTGTCCTGGAAGACCGGAAATGTATTTGCCGTGAGTTATTTTGTCGGCTGAATGGGAGATATTCCTCATGTTGATGCACATTAGAATGAATTTCAATATTTTCACATTATCAACCACAGCTCATTTGTTTTCCTCCTTTTTCTTTCCAAACCACCTGACATTAGATTAATGTTATTCTGGCACCAAATGTTATATTTTTGATTTTGTTATAGTTTTTTTTTTTCAAGTCATGTTTCATAAAGTTACTGGTGTCATGAATATCCTGAAGTCAGGGTTGCTTTTAAAATGTAATACCAGACTTGCTACAAGAAGCTGCAGGTCTGCTAATGTCTGTAATCCCTGTATCGTCATTTTCAGATTAGCCCACATGAGATTTGGTTCAGTAAAATAGGCCACAAGGGAGACGGGAGGGGGGGGGGGGGTTGACTTGCTTGCAGGGCATCATATCTGAAATCTTTTAATTCCTTATAGCTCTTGCTTCACCATGTTTCAATCCCAAAGTCTGTGTACTTTACTGCATCATGAAAAGACATAAAAGCAAATGAAAAATAGACCAGCCAGCTTCACAGTGTAACAGAACACAAATGGAAAGTGAATATTGCGGCTACAAAGCCTTCATCAGTACATTAGATAAATTAGCAAAACCGCATGTACAGACACGATTTCACAAAATTACTTAACTGACGAATTCCTGCTAGCAGCCACTTTGTTTTATGGCCTCCGAATGGAGATATGAAATACACTAACGTTCTTATTCTGGAGTGGTGGAATTACTACACTGATGACACATGAGTTTACTAAGGAACTTGATAAAATCGGCTAAAGGAACAGAAGTAGAGCACACACCAAGTTCATAAATATATCACATTATTAGAGAAGCTAATAAACATTGAGTGAATTGTGTGGTGCTTCTTCTTTTTTAGTATTCCGAGCTCTTGAGATTCACTTGCAGATATCCCCTGCCTCCATTCATCTCTGAGATTAGTCCTCTCTTTCGACTTGGGGACTCCAAGTATTTGCAGGTCTGCCTGGATATTATCTTTGTGCTGTCTTCTTGGTCTGCCTTGTGGTCTATGACCATTCAGCTCCCTTATGCACACAGTTTTTTTTTTTTTTTAGCTCTCTGTCATCTGACATTCTCTCAGTATGCCCCAGCATCTCGCCCTGTTAGCCCTGATTGCTTAATTCTGAAAGAGGTAATCTCCTTATCATAGATATTAGTTGACTCGGTCTCCAGCCAGCCCGACCTCAGATGAAGCAGGAAACATTCTAAAAAGTTAACATCACCAGCCGGATTTTGGTTACCTTACTTTGTTACAATGCCTCCTCTGTTTCAACCACACTTTAGTTAAAACACCTGGTTTGTTACATCTGTTTATTACAACATCTCCTTTGTTAAAGATCTCCTTTCATATAAAATCTGCTTTGATTTCACCTGAAACTTCCCAGCATATTCAGCTAAGATATCTCTGTGTTCTCTGCAGCCTTTAACCCTTCACTGCCAAATTGTGGGCTGTCTATGAAGTCTTGAGGCCCATCATTCTGTTCATCGCCCGGCACTGAACAGACATTTATCAAGCATTTAGCACTGAAATAACTTTTCAAATTAATCTTCAGTTTAAAAGTCAAAAAGTTTCACTTCAGATGAGACTGAGTTTGTAATCAGGAAACATTTCATTTTAGTAGTGTATAAAGCCAACAGGTTCACCTTCACTGCACCCAGTTTTATCCAATGTGGCTTAGTCTCTCTGAGCAAAGTGGTTGTTAAAACCTGCCAAGAGCATTGCACAAAGCACAGTACTCACTAGAAAGTGCATGTCAGTAAGTACAGTACATGAGAATCAAGGCTCCCCCCCCCCCAACTGGTAGACAGTGGTTCACAGTGGTGTTGCATTTTTAAGGGGTCATTTCCTTACTGTAAAAAATGTGTTTTGGTGAGTACCACGCCATTTTAGACACTTTGAGGACCACATCTTTTTTAGACACTGTGAGTACCATGCTTTTTTTTTAGATACTGAGTACCACACCTTTTTAGACACTAAGTACCACACATTTGTAGACACTGTGAATACCAAACCTTTGTAGACACTGTGAGTACCAAAAGACACTGTACTTTCACCACAATATTTGACAGTAGTTATCAGAAATTGCATGACAGTAAGTTAAATACATGACAGCACAGTACACCACAGCACAGTGTGTGTGTCAGTAAGTAAACACACTAGAGTACATGCTGCACAATGTATGCAGTAAGTAAAGTTTATGACATTATGCACTGGAAGGCTGTAAGTAAAGTACATGACAGTACCTGCTGTATCATGCATATCAGTAAGTACAGTACATAACAGTACCCACTCTACAGTGCATGTCAGTAAG